CTCTTTTTTTGTTTGTTTTATTGGTCTTTTGTTGTGCCTCTTTTTGCTTTGTCAGAATTTTGTTAGGGCTATATTGTAGTTTGGTTGGGTTGCTACATTTGTTTGGGCCTGTGGTCATTGCAATTTCTACATGACAAGGGCCATTAATTGTAGGGGGTCAAACTGGGTAACATCTAGATCTGGCATTCGTGTCGTTTTCGTGTCAATTCGTTTTTTTTAATGGGTTGATACGATACGACACGATAAAGAAACAGGTTGAAAATGTCAAATAAGAACATGACCTGTTTAAATTCGCAAATCACACGGCACGATCCGTTTCACACGTTAATAATAAAAAAAATATTAAAAAATAATAAATAAATAAAACGGAAATATTAAAATATTAAAACTCTGAAGATCATACAAGTCTTTAGTAATTTCTTTATTCAGGCTCTAAAGATCATACAAGAGATTGGTAATCTCTTCCATTTCGCTCTTGATTGCTGTGACTTCTTGGAAAAACTAAGAGAGTTTTTCTTGGTCTGATGGGTTGAGTTGGTTGGCCTTGGCCTCCTTCAACATCAAGATCGGCTTCCAGGTCCTTCTGTGCCTGTTTCTTCAATTCCACATAACTTAAGAACGATTTAGTCATCAAATCATTCATATTTGTAAAGAATTTGCAAAACCCACCAGAAAAAAGTCAGAAAAAATTGAAATTTGGACAGAAATGAGCTTATTGACAAAACAAACAATATGAAAATGAAAACCCAGTAGAAATGGAAGCAGAATGAAGAGAAGAGATTAACGGATTGATTCATGTTTTCGCGAATGAACACGAAACGACCCGTTAGCTTATTGTGTGGCTAACAGGTCAACACGATAGCAACACGACCTGATAACTCGGACCTGAAAACTGAATTTTTTTTGCAAATTCGTGTCATGTTAACGAGTCGTGTACGATATTGCCAGGTTTAGTAACATCGTCAAGTTTTATTTAGCTTATTATTACGCCTCTCTACTGTAATTTTCTTTTGTTCCTTCATCTCATCCAATGAATTTTAAAAAAAAAGAAAATACAAACGATAGTCTAAACTAGAAGGGACACACACATTATCAAGGTGTAAGAGTTTGAATCTGAGACCATTGTTTATAAGTCAAAGTCATTTTCCATCGAGCTAGATCCCGTTGGCATTCAATGAAATTTTACCTTTGACAAATAAAAGATAACAAATGTACCAAGAAAACTGTAACTGAAAAATAAAATTATTCACCAAGAAAATGTATTCTAATCTCTGACAGATTATCTTCAAAATTGAAATAAACAAAGATTTCGTGAAGCATTGTGCATGAAAAGCAAGACGTTTCTGTGGCTTTTAGCTGGTAAAGAATTGAATGATCCAGTGGATCTGCCATGCCAGGGCCTTCCTCTGGTTTTTTTATTTATTAACCATCCCCCTTTTTACTTTTCCTGATTTAGTTGCCGTGATTCTTACGGATTTCAAGCTAGCTGCCAGCTGCCAGCTGCAGATCATTGACAGTGAAGTTGCAGACAGACGACAGAGCGAGAAGAGAAGAGAGAGAGAGAACGCTTTTTTCATATTGAGGGAAAGAAAAGAGTTTGAAAATGTGTGCCATGCAGTTTTGGTTTTTGAGGTTAACCTTTAAAGCTGATCATCATCAAAAAGAGTAAATATGGTTTCTTCTTACTTTCTTACTCAGTTTTCTTATCAGTAATATTCAGAACATAATCTTCTGCAACTCTCTCTCTCTCTCTCTCTCTCTCTCTCTGAATTGTTGTTTCTTCTTCTTTTTATTTATTTATAATGTTTTTGGAAAAGAAATGTCATGTTAAGAACTAAGTACATACTAATAAGAAATTCTATTTTAAAGAATCTTAAGTATTATTTATTTATAATGTTTTTGGAAAAGAAATGTCATGTTAAGAACTAAGTACATACTAATAAGAAATTCTATTTTAAAGAATCTTAAGTATTATTTATTTATAATGTTTTTGGAAAAGAAATGTCATGTTAAGAACTAAGTACATACTAATAAGAAATTCTATTTTAAAGAATCTTAAGTATTATTTATTTATAATGTTTTTGGAAAAGAAATGTCATGTTAAGAACTAAGTACATACTAATAAGAAATTCTATTTTAAAGAATCTTAAGTATTATTTATTTATAATGTTTTTGGAAAAGAAATGTCATGTTAAGAACTAAGTACATACTAATAAGAAATTCTATTTTAAAGAATCTTAAGTATTATTTATTTATAATGTTTTTGGAAAAGAAATGTCATGTTAAGAACTAAGTACATACTAATAAGAAATTCTATTTTAAAGAATCTTAAGTATTATTTATTTATAATGTTTTTGGAAAAGAAATGTCATGTTAAGAACTAAGTACATACTAATAAGAAATTCTTTTTTAAAGAATCTTAAGTATTGTTTTATATGACGTTATAACGTGAAATTTTTTGACTTCAGTGGTAGAACACTTACTTTCACACTCACATCAAGAATCATCAAGAATTTGATTCTTGCCTTCCTTCTCCTATGATTTGAAAGAAAAAGGTGTAACAATATTTCATTACAAATTTTATATGTACATACATAGTTAATGTCTAATTGAATACAAATTCATAGCAATAGCAATAGCATGTGCGGTTAACAAAATTAAAGTTAGAGATTGTTCAAGTACTCACTATTATTCTTGAGCCAATTTTTTTAAAAAAGTACCATTCTTGAGTGTCATGGAGTAGATGGCTACTTTTTGTTAGATCTGTGAATTTGATCGTGCAGTGACATATACATAATACACACTCATCTATT